AAGCATACGCACACGACCCGCATACCGATTCAGACGAACAGATATCGGTACACTTCAATGACGGCTTTGAGGAAAGTCGGAACCTGGACAGATCAACCTTCGACACCGAGACCCACGTTGACTCACAGCGAGTAACTTCAAGACAGAACTCGCGATCCTTCACAGGACGCGTCTCGAGGCAAAAAAGTCGGAGGCGAGAGCTTCTGGGAAGGCCGGCGAAACCTGGCATCACTGTTGATACGAGTTTCACAAGGCATAGAGGCACCGAACCTCATCAGGTGTTTCCACATGGAGCAGAGAGAGGCTCCGGGTCTGTTCGGAGGTCGCCGTGGTTCGGTTTAGGACGGTCTTCGACCAGGAACAAGGGCTTGGGTATCACCAAAGGTACACCTCAACCAGACACTACACATCGGAAGAAGCCTAGCATCGACCGGAGCGAAGCTGACACCGCTATTTCCATGACCCCAGGGAGCAAATCGTGGCAGGAGATTTCGCCTTGGGACCGACGCATACCAATTGGAATATCCGTCCCGACTGACAGCATCTCCGACTTTAGTACGCTTCAAGCCAGTCGGCATCGTGCTGGCAGTGACTCTACTCTTGTAACCCCAAGTATTATTATCACTCCTGCAGCAGTAAAGTCGGTTTGGTCTCCAGATACGCCCTTTACAGAATCCGATTACACGCCCAGCATCTACTCTCGTTACCAATCGACCTTTGCGAACTCCAACGTTCCTCCAGTTCCGGCTTTACCTGCTGGTATGTCACAGGCACCAGGCGCCGATACTGCCAGAGATACACAAGGAGCGGTTGGTCACGCCAGGAACGACACCCTAGATTCAGCAGGGACTGCCTTTGAGGAAGACGATGACTCTAAAAGGAAGGATCGTATCATGTCCACCAGTACTGTCTTCGAAGAGGATGAGACACCTCTAAGAGAGAGGACTGTGGAGAACTCTTTGGCTATCGATACTTCCATGGTGCCCACTCCACGGCGATCACAAGGATGGTGGAATGTCATTACCACCCCGTTCGTCATGACACCGAAATCGTCGACGTGGACCGAACCCGGGCGTGATGGCGATAGAACACCGGATGTGCCGATAGTACCTCTCCAATATGGTACACGCAAGAGAGAAGAGTCGATCCCTCTTTCCAAAGGTCCAGATAACACAGCGGTTACAGTTTCCAGTGTTTCATCACAGAGAGATTCAGAAAAGGTGGTGTTCCACCCAACTCCAGAACCAGCATCTGACCCTCATCGCGGCATCACATCCCCTCTTTCTACCATGTCGGCTTCCCCAGTTGTGGGTACAGCGGCTATTGGAACCGTCTTGATGCCTCGTCAGGTCGAAGAGCCACGACAGATCAACGTCAACATTGAGTTGCAAGATAGGCGGCCAATTGCGGACAGCTACTCCGTTCGCGCTAATTATCCACCACCTTCACAGCATATGCACACGTCAGCGCCAGCACCGCAAGTTAAGAGCGGAGCGTCTCCACCCACAAATGCCAACACCTCGCAGCAGAGCTTGCCGGTATTTGCTCCGCCACCCAAGTTCGCCCAAAAAAGCTCGCACTGGAGCTACGATAACGTCAGCCGTTCCAGCTCACAAGCTTCTTCTCCCAACCTCAAAGGGGGAAAGAAGCACCGCAAAGTCTGCGATATGATGAGTATTTGGCCGTTCGGAAAGAAAAGAAGCTCAAAACCCCAGGGTGCTGAGAAGGGGAAGAAAAAGAAAAGAGGTATCTGTTTCTGGAGTTGCTGTTGTTGTCTGATCTTTCTCATACTACTGGCAATCATCATCCCCGTAGTTGTAGTACTTACAAGGAGGGGAAACGACAACAATGACAACAAGCCAACGCCGACTCAACCCAGCGCAGACGTCGGTAGCCAGTGGCTCAACCTCACAGACTACCCTCCCATACCTACCGGTATCTTGACCATCGCTCAACCCGAGGCAGTAGAGGAAGAGAGTGGTTGTGTTGCACCAACTACGTTGTGGAGCTGTGCGCTGCCGAAAGAACTTCAGCAGTCCGTCGCGCCCAACAAACCCGACCAGCCGAACTTCAAAGTCGAAATCACCTTCGAAAACGGAAGTTCAGCTGAACTACCAAAGTCTCAACGCGTAAAGAGAGCCATGAATCCAGTCTCAGCCGGTGCCTTTGTTCGGTCATTGTTGCATGCACGTGCTGCAGCTTCGCCCTCTCCCGCGCCTCCATCAACTACCGATATGAGTTTCCTAGGACAAACTACAGACGGAAATTCCGCACCCTTTGAGGGCGAAGACACTGGCTTGTTCATCAGCATACAGGATCCCACCGTTAGCGTGTCGCGAATGACGAAGCGTGCCGATGCGAGCGACCCAACGAACATCACTGCAGTGATCCCACCACCGATGTTGGCTTCTGATGGAACTGCTGCGCCTGCAAACTTGTTGCCTTTTCCATCTGCGCAGCCACTACGATTATACAATCGCGGTAAAGATGATGAGCACTATGGCTTCTACAACTATTTCGACCGTTCAATCTTCTTGAAGCAAATCAACGGCACCAACCGTGGCGGCAACCCTGCAGATGTCGACGGAGGAAGTACAAAGGACGCTGCCAAACTGAGGTGTACATACTCACAGACACGTTTTCTGGTGCAGATCTGGACTCGCAGCAAAGAAAGCAAGACACTGTTGCAGCGTTCAGCTTCGGACAACTCGAACGTATTCAAGCGGCCAGGCACCTTTCCGTACCCAGTCACCGTCACCATCGACCGTCACGGCGGCGATCCAGCGAAAAAGAACCTCTATTGCTACGAGATGGAGGACGATGGGTCGATCAAAGACGAAGAATCGAAGAAGTCATTTCAGTTTGAAGACCGCGGGTTCGGAGGCAACCTTGTCAAAGGCACGCAGGGACAAGGAAGTGTCAGCGGATCCATCGACGGTGGGACTGGCGGCTGCCGGTGCCAATGGCAGAACTGGTTGAGTTGAGGCTCCACCCGTTTTGGATTCTAGCGACGATTTTTCCTTGTGTTGCATGAACATCTCCAGATTGCTGGAATTTCGCATAGCGTTTGGTCTTTTGCGCATGAATGATACAGCGCCCTCTCATGTCTATCACCTTTGTTACATATAAGAAAAAGTGGCTTCCCTTGTCGGCGACATGATTGAGTTCACTGGTAATACTCACCCACTGGATGGCATTCTTGTATAAATATATATATATATATACCTAGACTCGATAGTCCTAGCTAATACTTACTGATATCAATTACTCAGCACTGGCCCCTCCACGTGAAATCTATGAATCGTGAGCGTCTCAAACTGCCGCTAGGCTTAAGTGTAGTCATGGTATGTGTTTGGTCCACATGCGGCTCGGCGAGTCCATTTGAGGGAGTGTGGATATCGTGCAGTGCCGTCGGATGTTACCGTGGCTTCTCCGCTGACATCCTCCGGGCCCATTTGTTCAGTCAGGTCAAATAGTGGATATCAAACATAGACCTGGGGAGTAGTACTCGTGGGCGAAATCGAGGCATGAAGAGCAATCAAGCGAGCGATGATACAAAGGCGTGTTTCTCGGTTCTTGTAATGCAAGATCAGAGATGGCCTTGTCGGATAATAAAAGCAATGCGAACGCCCATAGTAGGGCATGTTATAAGGTGCAGATCAATCACGGCGGCCACCCACGGCAGCGCAGCTGCCTCATCGTGTTCGCAATCTTTAGATTAGACTATCTTCGCTATTGCGGGCTCGTACCAAACATTACACTACATTACTGACGTGGTCCGGAATACACCCTAACCCTGCTCCTCTGACGGCTTCTTCTCATCTTCAGTCGTACGGCGTGAAGGGCCTGGGGTGAGCGGTAGTAATCCTGATCTGTCTCCTGTTGGATTCCGCGATGCGCTTGGGGTTGGATAATAGCCGGGAGTTTTGCCGACACCGAGGTTCTTGGCACTTTCCTCGAGTTCTACCCTCTCCTGCTCCTCGCGATCCACCTCATGTCCGCGTCCTTGATCGTCCTTGTGGTTGTCGGAGATGTTGGCACCGACGGGGGCTTCCTCTCGTGTCTCCCCCTCAGGTACGCCAGTGTCGGAATCCACTGAATCTTCGTCACTGGTATCAATGTCTTCTTCGTCACTGGTATCGATGTCTTCTTCGTCGCTGTACAAGATGGGCTGTGCGTCTTCTAGGGCATGATAGTCATCCTCTTCAGCTTCGCGATCTGCCATCAGAGCATCGTCGTCTTCTTCACCCCTTCCAACAAGCTCGAGTTCGTCATCTTCAGCCTTTTCGTCTTGGGCTTTTTTTTGATCTTCTAGCGCTCGCTTATAGACATACTCAGCATCTGCAGAAGTAGAAGTACGAAATTAGTATGTCTCACATGCACTCCGTTCAGTCAAAACTTACCTGATAAGGACCTCTTCTGTAGTTCGATATGCGCTTCAGACAAGTCTTCGTCTGTTCTACCGACAAAGAACTGGTAGAGCTCTACTGCGCGCTTCGCATGTGCGACATAGCAATCATCTGAGTTGCCGAGCATAAGGTGGAAGCCTGCTTGATGCCATTTCGGGGTGTGTACATCTAATAGATATCGCCGACAGCCAGCGTATGCCTCCTCGTATTTCTCCGCGCTGTACAGGTTGGTCACGGCGTGGAACCTGTCGAAATACAGCTGATCAAGCGGGCTACGGATCGTTGTCGCAGACATTCTAGACGCCGTTGGGTACCTTGTTAGGATGTGGGGTGGGAGGCTTGTAGTGGGGAACGCGGTCAAATGATAGAACTGGAAAGGCTCGCACGCACGGATTGACACTAAATTTTTTTGAGTGGTGTTTGTGTGCTAGACCGTCCAATCCAGATCCAGGATGCACTGCCTCATCCGCCTTGGGTCTAGTGAAGCGCTAGCGCTCTTCTAGCACCACACAAACATAGATTCGGTTCGGCCCTTTCGCCCAAAATTGACTTGTCCCACGCCGATCGTTTCCAACTGGTACGCTTACGACCATGGACAGGAAGCGCGGCCGCGAAGACACCCCCCCGGGAGTGGACACGGATGCTTCCGACGTAAGTACTCATTCGTCCAACGCGCTTCCTACACGGCAACGCCATGCTAACATATGTTTTCCTATAGACTACCCAGATCGTCGCTCGACAACCACGCACACGAAAGCCAGTCCCGAAACGCCCGCGACAAGCCCGCGACGGATCCGAGCATGCCCATGTACCCGACAACGCCGACGAGCCCGGAGATAACGACGAGCCCGAGTCCGATAAAGAGTTAGAAGGCGACGAGCAAGCAGAAGTTGAGCAAACAGCAAAACGGGTCCCAAAGCTACGAAAGCGAAAGTGCGATGGTCCGTGTAGCAGGTTGCTGGAAACTAGAAAGTGGTACAAGATTCCAGGTTCAGCTGATAAGGGCGCCCGTGAATGTCAAAAGTGCCATAAGGCTCGCAAGGGCAAGAAACCACCACCACGAAAGTGCGATGGCCCGTGTGGCAAGTTGCTGGAAATTGAAGGTTGGTACAAGATTCCAGGTTCAGCTGATAAAAGCGCCCGCGAATGTCAAAGGTGCCATAACGCTCGTGAGGGCAAGAAACGAAAGACGTTACAACGAACGTGCGATGGCCCGTGTGGCAAAACGCTGGAAATAAGAGATTGGTACAAGATTCCAGGTTCAGCTGATGAGAGCGCCCGCGAATGTCAAAAGTGCCATAACGCTCGTGAGGGCAAGAAACGAAAGACGTTACGACGAACGTGCGATGGCCTGTGTGGCAGAACGCTGGAAACAAGCAATTGGTACAAGATTCCAGGTTCAGCTGATGAGAGCGCCCGCGAATGTCAAAAGTGCCGTTACGCTCGCAACAATCCCCTCGTGACTAAAGCTTCGTCAAGGAAGTTTAAGAGAGGAGATCTCGCGACGGGCAGCCGAGGGACTAGACCTCATCGCCTGGATAAATCTACCGTGGACCCCACTACTGACCTCTCTGCTCCTTACCAAACCTTGGCCGATGTTTACGAGGAACGGGTCGGTGCGCAGCTGGATCAGTGGACTACCGCCATAAACGCTGTGGTGTCTTCAAGCGATGCTCCCCTCATTGCAGACGATGTCGATGCCGACGACGACGACGACAACGAAACCGCCATGCAGAACCCGATCGCCCCCTTGCGGCTGCCACTCGCAGACAAACGGAACGCGCAGCTGTCGCAACTCCGGAATGAGATGAGGTCTCTCAGTAAAGCCCCGTCGAGAGATGGTCGCAACTACGTCAGCTCGTTCGTCAGTACCAAGCTGGTGCTGTCGGAGTCAAAGACTATCGATGAGTACCGGTATGAGGTCAAACAAGGATCAGAACGCCGTTTAATGGCGGTAGCATATGGACCGTCCTACAGCAAGGATGTCGCGCTGCGCGTTGCTTCCAGTGCAGTTGGCATTCTCAACTCGTTCCCTGGTGAGCTCGATCTGGTTTCCACTCCGCTCTTCAATGGGTCAAAGTTTGTAGCCATTCCAGCGGCTGGAAACAAGATCATCACTGCATTACTGGAGTTGGAGCTTGAGGGTACCTGGGATCCTAGCCGTCTACGTCTCCCTACTCCAGAGATTGACAAGCTCGACCCTTTGAACAACGACAAATTGAAGGACACGATCGAATGGACTGTACGTTCTATGATGATTGACCCATCTACCGGGGAAAGCTACGAAGGCACATATACCCTTCCCGAGCTTTCTGGAGTACCGACGTTCCGTATGATGCCAAATCTTCAGTTCTATGATCATTACGGGAACTGCGGATTCACCCAGGACCCAACCAGCAAAGAGGACGTTCATAAGACCGGCCTGTACGACCCGAATGTCGAGCAACTGGAACAAACCGAAGGCCGACTTGAGAACAACCTGCAGACCGAGAAGCTCCTTCGTTGCCTGTCTGCGCACCTCGCGCGCACTACTTTTGTTCGTCTTGATGACTTCAAGGTATTTTGCGACAGCTGGATCTCCAAGATCGCTACCAACTACTGGCACCGGTACGATGTCCTACATCTCTTTGAGACGGCGGCTGGGTTGGTTACCATCGCACCAGACGAGCGCATCGAACACCGGTTCCCCGGTCTTCCGAAGTTCCCCATTCCTTCCAGGGATTACTCGCGTGCCATGCCGGTAGTCACCACTATAGTCAATGCTTGGCTACGTTCTGGCGACATCAGAGAAGCATGGTTAGAAGGAGCTGTGAAATACGAGGCAGTTTGCTCACAGATTGTTGCTGGAGAGCCTTCTTCGACTGCATGCTCGTGCAATGAAGACAGCCAACACAGTACTGTTCATCCTTGCGGCAGCTGTCACGGTATCTTCCTGTGTTCCCGCATGCAAAAAGGTATCTTCGCGCCAAAGATCTGCGCCTCATGTTTCCAGCTGGAATCGTCGGATCCAGCTGCTGCCATAGACGAACGCGCACTCAAGATCGCGCTACGCAATGCAAAGGTTCGAGGGGCAGGGACAATGTCTGAAGCACTCGAGTCCGTCCGCAAGTTCGTATGTCGCACTCAATCTCCCGGCGGGGGTCTCGTATCAGCGCGGTGGGAAGATTACATGACTTCGACTATGCGAGCCTTCTCCGCTACAGCAACCGCGCACGATGGCTTCCGAATATCAGTAGATGCGGTGTTTCCCTTTGGTATTGCAAGTTCCGGCGAAATTCATCATCACGCCCCGTCAAACTTGCGCCTGACAAGCACGGCCTTTAATTCTGCAAAGGGCATCCATCTTCCCGCTATAATGGCAGTCATCAGCGACTACATAAGAGCAGTCGGTGACGCGGAAGAGGATACCGCAGAGTCGGGCAACTTGCATGACCGACTGGAGAGCTTTTCTAAGTCACTATTTGAGCGTCTGGCTGCATGTCGCAGGGTTCGCCTCAAATGCCCATCTACGAAAGCGCTACGGGAGAAGCAGACTTTGAACGATGAAGTTTTCAAGGCGATGCATGAGCAATGGGTTTCGGGGAAGCTCGTGGCGAGCGATCAGCTTGAGGACGCCAAAACGTACAAAAGCATAGACGCTGTCAAGTGGTCAACAGAAGACTTGACTCGCCTGAAGTTTCTCATTAACCAGCTTGAAAAGGAGTTTGGTGTTAGTGTTACAAAGAGTACAGACGGTTGCCCGGTGGTTGCTCGCCTTCCAAAGACGTCAACTTCTTCACAGGAATGGAGTTGGGTCGCAGCGGCCAACTTCTTTTTTCAACGTCTCGATAGACTCAGGAAGAGATGCAACAGATGGGATGCCACTATCGATACGCCGATCACTCTTTTTGTCGAGTGCATTTTCCAAATTTGTGTCGGTTTGTGGGACGAGACGAGACCCATGAAGGAGAACGCGGTTTGGTCCCTGGATGAGAAGAAGGCCTACAAGAAGAAGTACGGAGACTTGCTCGGTCTACCCATCGTCCTCCAGGCATGGCACCCCCTGTGCTTATCCATCGGACACTACCACCACGGGCTACAGATGCGGACTGGTTGGCCTCCCGACGCCACGGAAATGTCTCATCGTAAAGAAGGCGTAGCTAACATAAGCTTCGAGACATCCTTTAGCAACCAACTAAAGAGGGCATATCCCTCAAGCCAATACCAGGAGCTTCGTGCAGAAATGAAGAAGATCAATCTAGCCAAGGAGTACTACGACCCGGATCTAGAGCCTGCGGACTTTGAGATGCCTGCTTTTGAAGGCGGCGATGAAGCCGATAGAGCGGCCGACCTAGAGGAAGCTCTGATGAGCGCGCTGGGAGATGGGCCCGTTCCAGGAGCCTTCACTGAAGACGAGGAAGATGACGCCACAGGTGCGGATGATAGCAACGAGCCGTCTCCACCTACCCGAGTTGCGTTGGCCAGAGAATACGACGAGATCCAACAGAATTTCATTTTCCGCCATGGTAACGGCACGGCTGATGTGCCTGGATCTGAGGACATCTTCAAAAGCATGAACAATGCGGCCAAGAACGGGAACCGAACCGAGTTTGACCGCCAGCGCGTCAAGCTACAGCGCCTTGAGAACCCATCCCCAGGTTCGTCGGACTCTTCCAGCTCGTCAGGCTCTGACGGGTTCATCGCTCAGTTTGACAAAGTGGACCATGTTGAGACATATGGCGCCAAACAAAACAAACATCAAGTCATTGGCAAGAAAGGCCGAAAGCTAGGTACAGTCACAGCTCGTGATCGCAACCAGGTCTTGGATCGTGTTACCTTTTATAACGCTCCTAGACGATCTGCTTCATCGTCAGAAAGCAGTTTGCTGCAGCAGCAGATGCATCAGGCCAGCCATGGTCTCGATCCAAAACACCCAGAACAATACGGCGTTGAGCATGTCGCTCGAATGTCTACTGTATCTACGACTGAATACTTCCTGTGTAACGGTAACGGATGCGAGAACACCAGAATTCCGTTGAAGTATCGCGCAGTTGCGGATGTTAACGAGTGCATTTTCTGCAATCTCGGCTATCATAAGCATGATCCTGAACGTGTTGGATGGTGTTTGGGTGGAGAGCATGGGCACGAGGCTCAACAAAGCAAGCTTGTTGATGATGACGGCTATGACGCGGACACTTGCAAAGACTGCAGTAAGGATGAAGGAGAGTTTGGCGATCACAGTAGTGAGGGTGAGGATGAGGATGAGGGGATTGTGGCTGGTACTAATGATGATAAAGCGGATGGTACTGAGGGTACGGATGATATCATGACTGACTAGTCCGTTCCCAGTGCCCGCGGCATCGTGGAGGGCAGTTGACGTGGTATAGAACAAGGCACGCTTGCACAGGAGGTGGACAGGTATGGTATGGATCGAGCTCAGGACCTCCGGAAATGCGTTGGTTCGTGCATGTACAGTACACTCTATAGCAAGAAGTGCCATTGCGTTTTATAGTCAAGAGGGTCAGGTACCGTGACACTTGTCGTCACTTGGGTTAAAGCATGCAGAAGGTTTGAAGCACCCTCGTGCGTACTGCAGTGACGCTCGTGATGAATACGACCGTATACGTGCATTATCTCCAGCGTCGTATTAGGAGTCAGACATAGGCTAATAGTAGGAAGCCCTTGTTACATAATAACAAGGCCTCTAATAAATATCTTAAAGAGGCAATCTTGCTTATAGTACTTTATTATATATTCTATCTTTTTATTTAAACTTGTCAGCTATGTTGCAGTGCGTAATTAGAAGAAGAGGCTGAATTAGAGCTGCTCTTGCTTCCGGCTTTCAATGCGACGCTAGAGACAGTGCTGCCCAGGTGTAAGCCGTGCACGTCCTGCCTTAGCCCACATTCTCAACCCGACATGTGTTTATTGAACGGCAACAAGCAAGCAGGGCCCCTGTTGGTCTGACACGCTCGAAGATAATGAGCACCATGTCACCGTAGCAGCATTATTGGTGGTGTTGAGGGGGACATGGGACGATGGCAGCGGACGAAGTGTGGATACTCGGCAGAATGAACGAGGATGGATGAGGCTAAGCACCGTAGCAGCCGTGCACGTCCCGCCTTGGCCCAGACTCTCGGACCCCGCCATGTCCATTGATCTCGCCCACGTTCTTCTAATGGCGCTCTGATTGGCTCCTTGAGACTTCATCCTTCAAAGACCTTTCATCGCCTCGTACATCCAAACAAGTGGCGACGCGGCAGGAATGCGTCAATGGCGTAGCAGGGCTGGGCAACTGATCTGTTGCCATGCCTCTTGATCGTAGGCTTGGTATGCTTGTGCAAGCCCTGGAAGGCTTGTTGAAAACGTCATGGCTCCATCAGCTATCACGAATAGTACCTTGGAAAGACATAAATCTGGGGACAGCAAGAAGGTTCAACAGCCTCGGATTTGGCGACTACGGGGATGCACTCGCTCTCGGCCCAATTAGAGGGTGCTGCTTGTGCCGAAAAGGCTGGGATTTGCTGTCGCGTGAGCTCCTTCCAGACTGGGTGGGGCTTTCAAACCTCTAGTATCCTCGCGTCCACAGTAACGTTATGCCCCCGCCGGAAGCGACGGTCTGTACACTAGAATTTTCTTCGCATCCTTGGACCCTTATATAACCTGTAGCTCGTCGGCTTGTGCGAAATGCTCAACTTTGTTCACTCAAGTTCGCGCTCCCTGTGCGCCTCTGCCTCATCTTTTCCGCTCGGCTGAACCTGGGTGGCTACCTCTCTGACCCTCAATTCCTACGCACCGGGCTTTTGCGGCAGCCCTTTGGAACAGAAGAACGCATCACAAGCAGCTCGAGGCGTGTGTCCATCACCAATCCGTGCATACCATATCGGAAAGTTCGTCATCGGACCGCCCGGCTATTACTAGCATCTGGCATCGCGTCGATTTGCAGATCCCATCGACCACTCAGAAGCCACCCTATCGAACGTGCTACTGTTCTGCATTGTGCGTGGAATTACTTGCGCAACCCACATCATCAAACGATTGTAATATCCGTGGGATAATCCGCCGCCTCGGATTAGCATCAAAGCGCATATAAGCTTCGCCTAGGACCCGCGGCTCTGGGCAACGCTTTTTCAAGCCATTCCACTATCAGCATATAACAACGAGTCCGGCCCAGCCCTCGTTGTACAGTTGTTACTATGGCGAATTCTCACGAACCTACGCCACCATCCCTCCGGGATTATGGTGTTGCTGCACCCCATGGCCCCAACATGACCGGCGAGCACCAAGCTACTCAGGACATTGACATCCGTAACGACATGAGCGCGAACGAGTCTAATGTGTTTCATGCCCTGCTTCACCCCGACGACCTTTACAATGCCAACGGCACCTACTGGGCAGACATGCCACTGGGTCAACGGGTCAAATTCATTGGACAAGTCGACAAAGCTGAAGCGAAAGCTGAAGCAACCTACTTCTGGGACATGTTCAAGAAAGACCCACTTGCGCCTTTTGGTCACTACTTCCGAACCTGTGTAATTCCTGGTATGGGTCTTGGTCTCGAGGGGTAAGTCGAAACATCTCATCGCTCAATTCTTCGCTAACATGAATCTAGTTACGTTCTGTTCTCCATTGGTAACGTCAGACCTCTTCTGCAGGCTGCCTTCCCAGCATGCTGGGGTAAGCACGAGATTTGCGATGAAACCTGGCTACAGGCTATTGACTACCTCGAGATTTGCGGTATCATTGTTGGTCAGATCCTCGTTGGTATTGTTGGTGATTGGCTCGGCCGCCGCTTCGGTCTTATCCAAGATGCTGTTATCATGTTCGTCGGTCTCCTCATGCTCACTGCTGCCTGGGGTGTCACCCAGAACGGATGGGTCATCTGCTACGTCTGGGCTCTATTCTTCTACGGTATCGGTGTTGGAGGCGAGTACCCCATGACTGCGACTGCTGGTATGGAGAACGCTGTCGGCTCCGGAAAAGTCTCTACCAAGGACGATCGTCTTCACCGTGGCAGGAAAGTTACCAGTGCTTTCCTGATGCAAGGTTGGGGACAATTCTTCAACCAGGTCATCCTGATCATCTTGCTCCTTATCTTCCACGGCGGATCATCCCCCCCGTACTCGAAGACCTTGGCTCAATGGACTTACCGTGTCTCCTTCGCCATTCCTGCTGTCGGTACACTCTGGCTCGTCTACTTCCGTTACTACAAGATGAAATCGGCTTCGAGGCAGCTGGCGCTTTCCAAGAAGAAGTCGAACGTTACCGGCTACGACGTTCAGTCTTTGAAACTTACCTTTACATACTTTGGACCCCGTCTTCTGGCTACTGCCGGCGCTTGGTTTGCCAACGACGTTTTCTTCTACGGCAACAAGCTTTTCCAGAACGAATTCATCAGCATTATTACGCCTGGTAACAAGTCTGTCATGACCGGCTGGCTGTATAACTTGATCAACGTCGGTGTATCGCTTTGTGGCTACTACCTCGCTTCCTTGCTCATCGACAACAAGCTTTACGGGCGCAAATGGATGATGATCGTCGGTTTCCTGGCTGACTTTGTTCTCTTCATCATCCCCGGTTTCGCTCTGGACTACTTCACGTCGCCTGAGAACATTCACGGTTTCCAAGCCATGTACTTCTTGTCCTCGTTCTTCAACCAATTCGGCCCCAACAGTGTCACTTTCCTTGTCGCTGCCGAGGTCTTCCCTACACCGGTCCGCGCCACCGCTCACGGTTTCAGTGCTGCTTGCGGTAAGGCTGGTGCCCTACTCGCCGCCGTCCTGTACAACTACATCGACACTCAGACCAAGTTCTACTTTGTTCCCTGGTTTGGTCTTGCTGGTGCTCTCCTTACTCTACTCTTCCTTCCAGACACGACCGGTCTGGATCTCAAGGAGCAAGAGCGTCGCTGGGCATACATTCGCGCGGGCAAAGAGCACGACTACCACGGTATTGCCATCCACTGGAAGCACCTGTCCTGGTGGGAGCGCTTCCGTGGCCAGCACAAGGATTACGACGCCAAGCTCGACTACGAGCAGAAGATTACCGAGATGCGCGCAGAGTGGCTCGAACGCCAGCAACACAAGTTCTCTGAGAAGAATGGCTGGGAAGGTGCTGACCCTGACGAGGACGACCACCTTGATGTACACAACTACTTCAAGCGCACCACACCCGGCTCGCCAAAGGGCCCTGAGCCTATGATGGCGCCTAAGTCTGTGTCGGAAAGCGACTCGGCGGATGAGATTACGAGGGAGAAGAATGGACAGCTCTAGTGGAGCTATGAACCAGATGTTCATTGTCGATATTTAGATAAAAATTAATTGTTAGCGTTATCGTTCTTTATAGCATTACAACGGCGTTTTCATTGTCTCGCGCTCGACGCAGAGGCTGTACTATGACACAGATAATGAAGATCGTTATGACAAGTACTTTGATCTATCCAGACCTTTCCTGTTCCTGTCGTGAGTTGTTGAGTTGCTGAGACTTGTCAATGTATTGTTGAACTGGGTCAAAAGCAATACGATATAGCTAAGCTTCGCAGACTACGGACAGTAACGTGCAGCTGCGTTGTCCGGGTTCAGCATACGTACATAATATTATGCACGCCAGTCTTATGCACAAAAGGCGTATGCAGTTGATTGATCCGGCTAACAGAGAAGCCCTCATCGCTTAGCCCCGGGCAAACCTAATCAACAGCCTGAGGTTTCGCAATGAGCGAGCACCACAGCAAGGCAGCCGCGTACCTGCAACTGGTGGCGCGGTCAAAAGAACTTTACCGGTAACTTTCCTAGATTTCGGCACACAGGACGTTTCAGCGGTCAGCCATGGTGGCAGGAGCAGCTGGGAAGGTTGGTAGCCGGGGCAACAATCACCCACCCGCTTTTTCTCCATGATGCGCGGACAGTTCTTGCGGTGACAGATGGTTGACTTCGGCCGCGGCGCTACTAGGGCAGCTTGGGAACCGCAGAAAAGTCTGGGTGTTGTGTGTGGTACTGCAGCTGTACATATCGGACCTGCGCAAGTGCAGCATGCTAGATGCAAGTCGTAGCGTCGGACAGACAGGGTGGGAGGAACATTCTTGGAGCTCTCGGCTTTTCCGCCGAACATGTACGGCACAAGCGCTACACACTCCAGTGCCTTCTATCGTGAGCTGCCCGCAGTCACGCCGGCCACGAATTCGCACCACATCACCGTTTGACAACGTGAGGGCAAAACGTTGAATACGAGACGGGAAGGAAGACAACGACGTCATGATCTCCTCCCCCTTGAATCGTTATCACGGCAGCGGCAAGAAATCATGCGAAACGAGATTACGAGCATGGACCTTGCTGCGAAGTC